AGGTATTTTATGTTGGGCACTCTATTAATTTGCATTTTTTTATCATTAATGTTGAAGGAGAAATTTGTGTAACTTGGCAGATGTTTAGCATAAGATCCAAATGGCAAAAAATGTGTTTTAGAGTAGTTAATGCTTAATTTTCTACTGTCAAACCACCGAATAATTTTGATAAAATCATTTTCAATTACATTTTTCAGATCAGACCAGTCAGTGCCTTCATATAATATTGCAGTATCATCTGCAAAACTAGTTATTTTGCCAACACAATTCATTTGGAAAATATCATTTAAATATATATTGAATAACAGCGGATCTAAGACAGTACCTTGTGGGACCTCACACTTAATATACATTTCTTTACTAAATAATCCTGATATCTGCACAGATTGTGGGCGATTTGACAAATAATTTTCGATCAGTGAGTACGCGTTTCCTCTGAAACCAATTCTCTCCAATTCTTCTAATAATAATTTGTGATTAACTGTGTCGAAAGCTTTCTTTAAATCAACAAAAATGCAGATTGAAGGGATTCTGTTATCAATATTTTGATGTATTTGATTTACAATGTTAGTTATTGCGTCCGATGTTGCCCTCCCTTCTGTAAATCCATATTGATTTTCACTTAAAATTTTGAATTTTGTGAGGTATCGAATCATTCTAGTAGATAAAACTTTTTCAAAAACTTTTCCTACACTGGATATGATGATGGTACTGTTCAGATTACCGTTCAAATGTTACTATTCTGTTCTTCACTGTTATTGCGCATTCTAAAACACATTGGAAATCGGCATAACTGCAGTTTTAAATAAATGTTCCACTTATTTGTATGCAGACGATACACAGATACAATTTTCTTTTGACCATCTCACTTAATCTGCTTGAAATGATGAGCTTAATATGGAATTGGATAGGCTTAACTCTGAATCATGATCACATTAACTTACCATTAACCTATCTAAATTTGTCAAACAAAAAGCTACTTTGCAAGTGGGTAACAATACAATCAAGAATGTCAAAAGGCAAGGAACCTAGGTTTGGAAATAGATAACGAATTAACGTTATCTGGTCACGTGAAAAATGCATCCAAATTGCATTTGTTCGGTTGAATAATTCGTTCTCACACCGCCAATTAAATGTCATTCTCATTGTCGTTCTATTTTTGTCCCTATTTAATTACTGCGCTGCCGTGTGATAAATTCACAAAAATTCAGTTTATCTCTCATCCGCAAGTTTGACATTGTACCACACAAGCTAGAACAAGTTAGTTGGCTCAATATGGCCTCCAGAGGAAAACTCCATTCTTCAACATTATTCCATAAACTTGTCTCTATCGAAACGCCTCCATATTTGTGGAATAAGATAAAATTTAGGCATATTATTACATTATGCTTTTAATAATATTCCGATTTGTCAACTTTGGAAAGAAGCTTATAGCGACTTTTAATACAGAATGCTACTAAGAACAAAATTTTACCAGAGCGAAAGAAGGATTTCTTTTAACTAGCTTTAAAAAGTCGTTCAAACCGATCACCGCTCAGTAACCTCTTGACTCATGTTGAAGATGCATCCATAAACGTGATTATGAAAAAAATCCAAGGTTTGCATCTCGTCTGTTGAGGCAGTGTTATACGACCTAGGGAAATATATATATCTAGGAAATTACGAGCAAGCTTAGGGAAAAAGGGAAATTTATTTGAATTTGTACAAAATCTAGGGAATTCTTAACTCTGTAAGGCAATTGTAAGCAGCAGGGACAAAAAATAATAGATAGAGAATAAACTAAGAAACAAATTTTTAAAATACCTTCCGATTGTACCTATCAAATATGATTCAAAGTATATTAAAATGTACGAACACCAAATTGTATCAACAAACCGGTTGGAAATCATAACTCATAACATTCGGGGAATTACGAAACAAAACGCTGTGGTTCCCCGTCGGTGATTCCTCATCGGTGATTCCCCGTCGATGATTTTTTAATAGAAAGTTGTTTTCAAGTTTGTAAAAGATTTGATAACAAAAGAAAAACTGTCGCTACCGTAAAATATATGTCACTTATATCACCAGATGAAGTAATCGCAAAAAACAAGTATGATTAGGGCCTTTAGTTTTCCATTTTCCCAACTTGACAACTGATAACGTAAATGAAACAGACAAAGAATGGCGTTGCGCAAGAAATTTTTAGTTAAGTGAATATACAAATTCACGCGTTGAAGAATTCTGGGAAAACATTTCAACATTAAAATCAAGTGCAAATGTCGAAAGGATATTTTTCCAAATAAATCTAAACAAAACTAAAATAATAAATAAATTATCGACTGAAAGTTTAAGTGGAACTTTACATAACAAAGTTTTATTTAAAAATAACAGTCGCTACAACTTTAGCATCCCTAATGATTTGTTCAGAAGAATGGATTCGCCAATGTACCAAAAAACTCTAAATCAAATTATAATACCTACTTTTGATTATTTTGCTTTATTGTTTTCTTACAAACAAAATACTCAACTTATCATGTATTTTAGTTATAAGTATATTATACAGGGTGTTTCAGTTTATTGTTGCATAACTTTAAGATTCTATAGAACTTTTAAAATTAATGCATAAAGTCTATATAAACATGGGTCGAAAAATGCGTGGCTTCCAAAATACAGGGTGTTTAAATTTACTTTCAAAAATAGTTTTTTTTTAAATATTTCGAACAATATTTGATGTATAACAGTGTAAATTGGTATACAAGGGTTTTTTGGTACGACAAAACGAACCATGGGCATAGTTTTACTGTAGCCGCTAGAGGGCGCTCTCTACTGTACCTGTAGACCGAAACATTTTTCTTAGTGCAATTTTTTGCTTTTTGAATAAAAGCTCTCTTGTGAATTATGTTATAGTTAGCCGTGTTTGAGATACCTCGATTTTTAAGGTTCGATGCATTTATAATTATTTATGATAAAATAACGTTAAAAAGTCGGTATCTCGATAATTTTTAGAAGTAGGCTGTGCCTGCAAATATTTTTGAAATTGAAAGCAGAATAAGGTTAAACGTCAATTAGTTGACAGTTAGTTTTGTTGTCTGTTGAAACCTGAAACGTTTTTTTGCAATTGTGAATTCACGAAATTTAGTTTCTTTTACCGGTTTTTTTTGTAAGTTTAATAAAAATGCCATTTTTATTCTCCAATCAAGAGTTAGCGGATATTCATTTTGTGAATGGCTTTGTAAATGGAAACGCAGCAGAAGCAGCCAGAGAATACGCACGAAGACTTCCAACTCGCTCAGTATTTGTAAGAGTGCATCACCATCTAATTTCAAAATGGTTTTGGAGATCTCCAAAGGGATCAAAACATAAATGTTCGTCAGCGCAGATTTACCCGTATGATTCTGCGTGAGTTTAATAGAGATCCCACCACAAGTGTTAGGAGAGTTTCTGGTGCCTTGGGAATTTCAGCAAGCCATGTTCACCGTGTTCTTAGAAATGACCACAGACGTCCTTACCATTTGCAACCTGTGCAAGGACTACAGCCTGGGGACGGAGAACGAAGAATCACATTTTGTCAGTGGATTGTTGATAGAACTGATAATAATTGGGAGTTTTTAAGTAACGTTTTATGGACCGATGAGTCATGCTTCACTAGACGTGGAGTGGTAAATTTTCATAATCAACATATTTGGTCGCATAAAAATCCGCATGCAGTTTGGGAAAGAAATTTTCAGGATAAATTTAATGTGAACGTGTGGATTGGTATCTACCGTAATCGGCTATTTGGACCCTACCTTTTGCCTGCAAGGTTAAATGCTGCGACCTTCTTGGAATTTTTAAGGGCTGAACATGCAAATATGTGGGATTATGTTATGTTAGATTTAAGAAGATTGGCCTGGTTCCAGCTTGATGGTTGTCCAGCTCATTATTCGAGAATAGTTAGAAACTGGCTGGACGAAAATTATCCAGAAAGATGGATCGGCCGTGGAGGACCAGTCGCCTGGCCTCCACGATCCCCTGACTTAAATCCATTAGATTTCTTTGTGTGGGGACTTCTAAAACTAAAAGTGTACCAGACTCCCGTAACCACAAGAGATATGATAATAGACAGAATCAGCAATCCATGTGATGAAATAAGGACTTATTTGAATAATGATATACCACGTTCGATCATTCGTAGATGTGAATTGTGTATTGAACAATTGGGTTTACATTTCGAGCAACTACTTTAGATTTTGTATGTTTGTCCCAACTATCCAATAGCATGTTAGTTGTAAATAATTAATTTAATTTGTTAAAAATAATATTGGAAAATTAAACAAATTAATATTCTGTTTTTTGTGTTTATTTGGAGTTAGGAATTATTGCTGTGTTTAAAAACACAACTATAACGAAAACTCACAGGAGAGCTTTTTTATGTTGAAAAGTGTGAAGAGTCAGTTTTTTTATTCAAAAAGCAAAAAATTGCACTAAGAAAATTTTTTCGGTCATTTTAATACACTACAGGTACAGTAGAGAGCGCCCTCTAGCGGCTACAGTAAAACTATGCCCATGGTTCGTTTTGTCGTACCAAAAAACTCTCGTATACTAATTTTCACTGTTAAACATCAAATATTGTTCGAAAAATTTAAAAAAACTATTTTTGAAAGTAAATTTAAACACCCTGTATTTCTGAAGCAACGCATTTTTCGACCCATGTTTATATAGACTTTATGCATTAGTTTTAAAAGTTCTATCGAATGTTAAAGTTATGCAACAATAAACTAAATATTTTAAGAAATACCTGTTACGTTAATTAAACTAATTATACTTAAAAAATTTATTTGCATTTGTCTGTCAATACCCGTACCCCAAATTACAAACAATATTAAGATGAATATTAAATATATATAAAAAGAATTCTAAAATAAACATGTGTTTTTTAAGTTGTTAGGATCATCTATGGAAATGTTGGCAAAATATCTAGGAAGAAAAGAAAATAATCGTCTGGCAACACTGTGCTGAGGATTAAGTGAAATTCCACTCACCACCAGCTGTCCTGCTGTCGCCGACCTTCAAGCTAAGCGCTACTCTATTCCCATACGGCAGGTATATCCGAAACGTACAACTTAGCGCCGCCTGTGACCGTAGCGTGAAGTTGCCATTCCTTTGCGTGAAAGTGACGTTGTAACAGTGGTCGACGAGTCGGTAGGCGGCTGCGAACACTGGCCGCCCCTGGAGACGCATCAGAGGCGGCGCAGCTCGAGGTGCTGGAGAGGGGAAGAAGGCAGAACGGTCCGATTCAGGGTGCTCTTCCAATTTGCCGCAGAGGTGGGTCTGCTTGTGGCTCTTCGGGTGGCCTGGAAAAAGATCGTTTAACATTATTGGATAACAACCCAACTAACAATTATCACTCCTATTAGAGTTGCAAGAATGATTATACAGTATTTCTTACACAGCATTGTATACTGTAAGAACATTGGCACTTCAGTCATTTAAGAGGTTAAATAAGGGCTGCAGGTAATAGTTATAAAACAAAAGTGTAAGCCTCTTGCAGCCGCTATAGGACATTTGCATTAGTTCAAGATTCAGTTTTTGTCAACTATATAACTATTCTGTTACGTGATTCTACTTTATTGCAACCAAACTATTTCTTATGTATTGTATAGACGAAGTGGAGAATATATATAACTAACACATTACAGTCATCTTGTTTACTTATATATCGGCCATTGTGAATTTCATACACAGGTATATGATAACTTCTACACTGTGATATAGGGCTATTGAATTACTTGCGCAGCAAATTTTATTGTGATTATCGTGCAAATTAGTTACCCAATTTCTACGGGCTTCGTATTTGATTCATACATGTATTTTGACAATGATCAAAAGTATGTCTAGATTTTTGAGATGGTAAACTGAACTTATCTGCGTTAAATCTTCTACAAATCCTATATTTAGACACAATTACACTAATTTTTATCACTTTATATCTTTAATTTCGAACTGAAACATAATTATTTAATATTAAATAGAGGAAGAAATGTTTGCCTAATATGGCGGGTGGTTGTGTACAATCATGGCATCGTCCAGGTTGTCTTTAGGTTATTCGAATATTTTGGTGTTGCCCGCAGGTGTTATACAACAATTTAATTAAGGTTATGGTGAAGTTGTTTACCAACAAATTTAGCATATGTACAGTCTTTAACAGTTACTAAACAACAGTTGTATAAGTGCTTCCGTTGGGAGCAATTTGTTGGCTAAGGTAGTAAATTGCACAGCAAAACAACAAGGCTCGGGTTTGTTTTATAAGCGTTACCATGGATGCCACAACACAACCATTTTGGCTAACTTGCAAATATGCCGTATAAAACAGTTGTGTAAACGTTTATGCAACATTTAAAAATTTGACCTATAAGGTGTTGTATAACTATGCTATAGGAATATTTTAAACATCTCATTTTAGCGCAAATATGTTGCAGAAAGCAAATTTGCATTCCACACGACATTAAGCCAGCATTTTGGTGTTCAGGCAACAACAATAGAGAGCTTTTATGGCTGAACGGTTCTTTTACTAAAAGCTTATACCACTACTTTGCTAGTTGGGAGTGTTATCAGCTGGAGCACTTTTCTTTACGAAACGTACGTTTGGTTTTCACGATTGAGAAGTTATTTTGAATGTACAACTGAATAACTTCAGCGCGTTGTTTTGGTGTGTACTGTTCCATGGTTAAAATTATACTGAAATGACGCTTCCAACGCAGTATGACATTAGTCGATCTGACAAGTAATGTCAAAGATATAGGGTTGCTTGATGCTTCCACTTTAAATGGCCCACCTTGTATATGTTATTCTGCCGTCTCCGTGTTTGATATTTTATGATCTTTTGTGTGTTTGTTTTGTTTGTTTCATACAGATATTTACTTTGTGTTGTTTTATTAGTTTTTACTCGAATCGTATACGTACAATGTAATGTCACTCAGGATAATAAAGACTTTGAATTTGAATTTGAATTGTGGTTCAGGTGAATTAGGAAGAATTGTACTATAATATATCTTAGGTACCCAATGGGTGCTCAGGCCTTAGGCCTTCGTGGTAGTTGGAGTATACAGATACAGATCTTTCTTTGGTTCAAGTTCATAATGCTATGGTAAGTTGCAGTTGTGGTGAAAAATTTTTGTCAAGAAGTACCAGTCGAGTGGAGATGAGGAACCTGGCAACTAGCCAACCTCTGGCCCTTTTTGTGCCCCATCGTACCAACAGATGCATCTACTGGTAACTGATTTTCGTATCAACCAGCTACAGTGTGTAGCAACTGTTGATCGTGCATCGAGCTCGTGCGTAATATATGTATTGTAAGAAACGAAAAATTTCGGCGAGCCGCTGCCGGTCACATAGGGGTACTGCTGTGTAGTTGCTGCTCTTGATTGGTGGAAAATTAGTGCTTGACCATCCCTGTTTCTAACAGTATACACAAACCCAACGTTAATAGCTTGAAATTAAGTTCCGAGGAGGATATTTGAAACCGCGAGTCGATGGACTAGCAGCTCGCCGTGCTAACCGTAAGGCTGCCCAACCCCTTAAATGTTGTCAAAAAAACACAATTGCAGATTCAGCACGTGACTGATTTTTGAAAAAATAATTGATGTTTTCTCAAGACTACACTGGAGCTGTCTCAAATTTCAAATTGTAGGTACAACGGTGCTGTCGAGATTTAATTACGAAGAGCATTAGACAGGTTCTGAAACAAACGTATACAGGGTGACTTTGAAGTTGAGTCATTAATTTTCAGATAAGATAAACCAAAATATGTGTGTAAAAATAAAAAAAAAATTGAAAAAAAATGTTACCTTGTTTTATAAAGTATTCTCCCGACAAGTATTTCAGTGCGGACCTGTATTTGATCGTGCGGTCTTGGAGCACCGGCATGCCCTCCCCTGTGAGGTCTTAAGTCACCTGATTCACGAGCCCTTTGTACTACATTCAGCATTTTCGTAAACATGTGCCATTTTTTATTTCGATTGAGTCACGCAACAAACACCACTATTCACTCACGCGTTACCGACTGACACATGGACTGAATACAACTGAACAAAATTGTACGTTGTAGTAAAATCGTCGTTTCAAATTCTTTCGCTTTTTTGTTTCCGATGCCGATTATATCCGTTGTTGCCAAACACGAGCACATAATATTATTATTCAGACAGGGCGGTACTCAAACTTCTAAAGAGCTATAACTTTGTTACTTTAATTTTACCAGAAAAATGTTAAAGGGAAAAAACATTTCTTTTGATCTGATCTACTCACTGTTAAAATAAATGACTCAACTTCGAAGTCACCCTGTATTTTCTCCAAATGTTCTGTCTTGCTATGCACGCAACGGGCTTACCTCCATTACGTTGTGTACCGTTCCAGCCTGATAGGTGGACGTATCCTCTCGCGCAAGGCACGTTCAGCCTGATCAGCTGCACAACCAATCCGCGTCCGCCTTCTCTTCTGGGGAACCACACGCGGCATTCGTGAGGAGTGGGAGGTAGGTCGGTGTCGGATATCACAGCTTCTTCAGGGAGGAGAAACAGCTGGCAATCTGCAGAAGAAAGGAGACTTGTGTGAAGTGTCAACTGAGTCGTATGAACTGCTTCCCGTTAGCAGGTACAAACAGTTACAGTATTTCTGGAAGGTTGAGGTCACACCAGAGGTGAAAAATTTGACAGCAAGGCCTAAGTTAGATGCTGAAATAACATACATGTATAGCATGCGTTGTTATCTTACACTTATTTGAGTACATTTGTGTTGTCCATTGTCAATCCTGAATTCTTTCAAAGAAAAATACTGTAGTTAAGATGCAGCAGTAACCTTGCTGATTAACCGAAATTAAAGCATCATAAAAGGTATAACTTTGTGGTATTCCGCCTATTTGATAATAGCAAATCGATTAGTAAGTCTGCGTCTAAGCTGCTGGACAGCTGCTTTGCAACATGGAAATTTTTACCTTATCTGCAAGTCAAGTTAAATAATCTTATCTGAGATCGTGTGACAACAACCTAATAAAAAAGAATTAGACAAAATTTCCACCCTATAGACAAACATATAATAAGTGACATATAAATCCGAACACCCAGTTTAAATGGTTTTATTTTAATAAAAGTTGGTGAATGTATTTATCTTACTGTAAATAACAAGTGAAAAAATTTTCAGCCTTACCAGTTGGACATTCCGGTTTTTATACAGCTTTTTTTTAATTCAGTAACGCTCTAAAAATGAATATTTCAGCCGCAGCAAAGAATCGACGTTGGCGGATTTTGGTTCTTGACATCCTTTACGATCGGTTACGATGCCTAGAGTACGGAGACCTGTACGATTTCGTCAACTTAGTGAGTTTGATAGGGGCCGTATAGTGGGACTTCGGGAAGCTGGACTTTCTTTTCGGACAATTGCAGTTAGAGTGCAAAGAAGTGTAGACACTGTGGTTAGGTGTTGTCAGGCATGGCTTCGAGAAGGCCGTACGCAAAGAGCAAGGGGCACTGGACGCCGCCGTAGAAAAACAGACCGTGAAGATCGCCGCCTAAGATTATTGGCCTTAAGGGACCGTTTCTCCACTACCAGGTCCATTGCAAATGAACGGTTTGCAGAACACGGAAAACCTATTGGCATGCGAAGTGTTTACCGACGAATGAGAAGTTTTGGCTTGTTTTCATACCGGCCACACTGGGTCCTCCCTTTAACTCGAGAACACCGACGTAATCGCCTTGAGTGGTGCAGACAACGGTCACTCTGGGATCAGGAATGGAACAGTATTGTCTTTAGTGACGAGTCTCGATTTTGTTTAGGCATGCACCATGGTCGTGCCAGGGTTAGAAGGCGACGTGGTGAAAGGAGGAATCCACAGTTTTTTGTTGAAACACATGTTCATCACGCTGTTGGAGTTATGGTTTGGGGTGCTACCGCTTATGGTTCCATGTCACCTTTAATCTTCATCAGAGGTAACATGAACGCGCAGCGTTATATCCACGAAGTCCTATAACCCCATCTTTTATCCTATCTTGACACCCTGGCAGATCCAACTTTCCAACAAGATAATGCCCGACCACATGTTGCAAGAGTCACAATAGACTTCTTTCAACATAATGATGTCACATTGTTACCATGGCCACCAAGATCTCCCGACTTATCCCCAATTGAGCACGTGTGGGATATGATGGGTAGGAGATTGCTCAATTTGCAACGTCCTCCTCAGACTCTAGAAGCACTTCGAGAGGAGTTGGTGGTTGCCTGGAATGAGATACCACAGGAGGACATTGACCACCTGATCAGAAGCATGCCTAGGCGCGTTGGAGAATGCGTCGCACATCAGGGTGCATCCACACATTATGGTCAAAAGGCTTTAAAGCAGTGCAATCATTTTGAAATTTTTATCGACTGGGTGTTCGGATTTATATGTCACTTAGTATATTTCTGGGTAATATGCCTCATTTAAATATTCGAGTGAACGTCTTCACAGCTGCCTGATGGGATCGAGACACCATTCGCGATGAAAGCGCCTTTGAAGTTTTTAATAAAAAGCTCGTCTTCCTAGAGCAAAAAAGTACAGGTGAAAAAAGGCACTTACCTTGCAGTATTGGCAGCGTATAAATCAATCTGTATACGTATGGATCCCCCGTGGATGCATAATTTAAACTGGAATAGAAAGAATTTCTGGGTCAATATCCAATATCATCCACACGGAATTAGAGATGTAACACCTTTAAATTTAAAAGCTATGCTGCTACAATATTAACGTTTTATGTCAAAATGTTTGGAGGTTTTGTGCTCTTTGGCGTTTGAAGAATTTTATTTTGATAGATCAGATTAACTAGGATGAAGGGATTCGGCTTAGTCAAAACAAAATGTATACAAAAAGGGTATGGTTCCCGCTGCAACTATTGTGGCGGCTGTGCAAGTTCTTTCGACATAATCAGACGATGGAGTTTTTTTCTTACACCGAAGCAGCAGCGCAGGCAGAAGACTAAATACCTGGGCATCGCGGCTGCTATGAGGAGCTTGGCAAAACTTTTTTAATCCGACTTTGAACTGTGAACAGCCTCCTCGTGTAGAATGTTTCTCAATCTTGATACCTACACGAGCGACAGAGCAGCGGTCATATCGGCCAGTTCCGGATGCTAGGCTAGGCTAGCTAGGCTATTTGTGTAGAGCTATAAAGGACTTTCCTCCACTCTGTACAAGGCATAGTGCTGTACTTTGGAAGATTGTTGCGTTCCTAAGCAGTGATAGCCTCCAGGTCTCTCGTCAGATAGATAGATACATCTATTGTCTTATAGACCTTAAAAGATACGCGAAATCGTCGTTTCTCCGTTCTACCAAAATAGTAGAGTTTCCATTGATTAAACATAAATTATTGAGTAGAACATAAACCCAGCAGGAACGTATCATCGATCATGTATGCGTAATGCATTATTACATCAGCTGATTATTCTAGCGACGTCAATATTCATTCGCAATGCAACGTAGCCCTTGAAAACGGCGACTCTCGAGTAGGATCGAGTATAAAAGCAAAAATATAGGTCGGAAAAGTGACGCCTACATTCATCCACATACACACGTCGAAGAGTTGGGGAGCAGCCACAATAGCTGCTTAGCCTCAGTGTCGGCGAATGTCGACACATTTTCTGCCCGTCCTTTGAGAAGGTTCGCCTTTCACAGGCGTTATTCTTTGATTCTTACGTCCCGCAGGCAAAACCTTTGTTGGGCGACAAATTTGCAATGGGTGGTGTTTTTACTACGTCATGCTATAGGGGTGAACATGTTTCATATGAAAAATTGAGTCAAGAAGAAGATTATGTACACTATTGTCTGTTATAGTAGTTAGATATCAATAATCTATCGACGAAAGCCTCGAACGTAGATTATATTGAATGTTTGCCAAACCCAATATAACAAATCTCAAGATTGTTTGGCTAACCTAAATTGAAATGAAGAACCCCTTAATTTGATTTGTTATTCAGTACATTCAATACCATATCTGAGAATAGTATCGTCAGTCATTTCTAAAATCGTAGGATACATTTATAGCCTCCTTGATTTCCACAGCCTTTTCTCTCCTTCAGAAAGGCTGGGATATTTCTAGATTTCCACTGTTGCATCGGGGCTCTTCCGTTGGTGGCTATGTGACGGTAATGCGTGTGTATCGTGTGTGGATGGAAGAAGGTAGAGGAACACGAAGAAGGCCGGCTGGTTCACCGAGGCGTACCACAGAGTATCAAGACAGGCGCCTCAGACAACTAGCCCTACGAGGCCGTCTTGCTGATATGCGTCAGATCGCGGACTAATAGTTTGGAGAAGAAGGTCAACCTGTTTTTCCTACAGTCCACGGTTAGTGCTTCCTCTGACTGCGGACCTCTGTCATTAAAGTTTGAACTGGAGCAGAGAATTGCAACATTGGGAGGCAGAATGGCATAATGTCATCTTCAGGGACGAATCGCGATTCTGTCTAGGTATCCACAAGTCGTAGGAGGGTAAGACACCGCCATGGAGAACGGCGTGATATTGAATTTGCTGTTAAGAGGCTTGTACACAGAACTCTTGAAGTAACGGTTTGGGGGGCTTTTGCCTATGGTACCCGTTTAGCCCTTCTATTTCGTCAAGGCAAAATGAATGCTGCGCGTTATGTTGATGATGTCCTACAAACTACTTTACTGCCGTATCTAGAGAGCCGTCGACATGTCCGTTTTCAGCAAGACAACGCACGTTCCCAGATAGCTCGTCGTACTACGGACTTTCTTCAAGAAGCAAGAGTTAATGTTTTGCCGCCAATTCGTTCACCGGATTTAAATCCAATCGAACATGTGTGGGATATGATGGGGAGGAGACTATCCACTTTGCAATATCCGCCACAGACTCTGCCACAGCGAATCCAGTTCGACCTGCTTGGAATGAGGTGCCACGATCAGACATCGATCATCCCATTATGTCGATGCCTAGACGTATATTGCAGTGTATGTAACTGCGGGGTCGCCCAACACATTATTAATTTTTTTTCTTATTACTTGTCAATAAAATTTTGGAAGAGTGTTCATTCTTGATGCTAGACTACCTCATTGACAAAAAAATCAAGTTGAAGAAATATTTTTTCTGCGTGTAACATTTCTAATGTCACTTAGTGTATTTAATACTAAACAGTGTTGCGGCTCCATTCAGGTTTCGTTGAAAAGCAGTCTATGATGATACATTATACTGCGCTTTGTTGGCACAGTAACCTTCTCCTACCCCGCCTACTTGTCAACGACAGAACGTGCGGACATTGATGGCTTTTCACATCCTTGGATGCACATTTTGCATAAGGAATTCCCAAGGTGACATTTTATCGATCCTGGCCTTGTCTAAATGTAGCAGCTTAGAGGCTCAAAAACTAGTAGAGCTCAAGCTCAACGGTAATATTGACCTTGATGAGTTGCATTCACTGAACGTAAAAAATTCTGTACATCAATAACTTTCAAAACATTTAGAAGAAATTCGCGGCTCAGGTACCTCAGTGAAAATATTCGGGGCACGAACATATCAATACATGCATCAAAGAACATTGTAACTGACCAAATTGAAGTTTTTACTGTGCATGGTAACTTGGTACACATGTTTGTGGTTTTGTAAAGATTGCTCGTTGGTGAGCGTTATTTTATAAAAAAAATTGCAGGAAGCCAAAGACGGGTAATTACAATGTGGCGAAAACGTGCACTTAGCTGTATAATCATTGTGACGTATGTTATAATGTTCTTCCATACAACATAGTCATTATTTATTAATTGTAAGAGCATGTACAATGTACCTGTAATAACATTGTATAGGATCTTACACCAGCATTAACATTAGAGTGACGCTATAGGAAATGTGTAATTGTTTGATATTGCAATATCATTGTAAAGTCACTTACAACGTGCCATAATACGTTTGCGCGCATTGATAAAAACTGTAAAGGCAAATACAATGCTTTAAGAATAACAACTGGGTTGTGGTAGATGCGTAAGGTACTTTACAATATCGTGCGTAAGTTGCAGTGGAATTGTATCAAACGTTACCATGATCTTAATGCTGTACCGTGGCAGTATACAGTTGCGAAGATATTTAAAATTCTTTTTCTCATCTTTGGTGAATAAAATGTTTAAATTTTTATACTAGCTGAAAGTATTAAGCAAGCTCTATCTGAAGCAGCTAAAAACTAAAAATCCACCAAATGTCAGTTACAATGTTCTTAGATGCATGTATCGATATGTGTGCTCCCATTCAACGTCTTTTTCTCTATATACAGGGTTTGTCCGGAAAGTAATAGGACTAATTTTCTTCCGCCATGACTGTACTTCGGAGCATGGGCGCACCGATTGGATTCGGTAGAGGGCGCGAAGATGATCCCAAAAGTGAAAAGAAAATTTGAACATATGTGAAAGTGACCTCCAATTTTAGAATAACGTAATCACAGGTGACTATACTACAACTATTTAAAACTGTAATGACTCATACGCGTGATCAACACGTGATCAGAGCTCGATCCCGGCTTCCTTCCAGTACAGCCGTATAGCGTACGACATATGTCGTTTCTGTGGCTTTGCGGTGGTCAACAGCGCAGACAGAGATGGAAATAATGGCTGATTGTTCTCCGCCGGTAGACCGGCAGATTCATAGGCGTCGGCAACGCATTGGGACGTGTTTCGTTGAGCGATCGCAAATTGTGTGTTTCTATAAAAATTGTTGTGTGATTGTTATTGTTTTGGTTTCTGTGGTTACTGTTTTGGTTATACTTAACCATGGAGAGTACAAATGGCACGAGTGTAAGTACTGAAAGCCAGGGAACAAGTAAACGGCTTCGTAAAGCACTGAAGAGGGACGCGAAAGAAATCGTGCTCAACGTGTTCAATTATCTGAACAGAACTATGTCGCAGGGAGATGCACTCGCGCGTTGTGAAAGTATGACAGGCGTTCCAGAGTGGACCATTCGCAGGGTGGTTCATGAAAAGAAGAAAACTGGAGCTACTACTGATCCAAAGTTTAATTTGAAGGGACGAAAGGCCGTTAAATTGGATGACGATAGCAAAATGGCGTTAAGGCGAACCGTACATTCATTCTTCTTTAGGAATGAGATACCAACCCTCAAGGCTGTACATGCAGCGATCAAGGAAAATGAAATTATACCCCAAATGAGCGTCGAGGTAATGAGGAAATCCCTGCACGAAATTAATTTTCGTTACGAAACGCGTAATCGGAAGTCAGTATTGATAGAGAGACCTGAAATAGTCGCCTGGCGTCGAAAATACCTACGCGAAATGATTGAATATAGGCGACAAAGCAGAAAAATCTATTCTTTGGACGAGACATGGGTAAATGCAGGTCACACAGTTAAAAAAAACCTGGATAGACAAAAACGTAGTGAGTAACCGACAAGCAAGCATTGAAGGTTTGTCAACAGGTCTTCGTGGACCGTCAGGGAAAGGTCAAAGATTGATCGTAACTCATATTGGTAGCGATAGTGACTTTTTAGAAGAGTGTGACTTGATTTTCGTCTCTAAGAAAGGAGGTGATTACCATGACGAAATGAATGCCATCTGCTTCGAGAGCTGGTTTCAAGGGGTGCTTCAGCGAGTTGAGCCCAACTCTGTGATCGTCATGGATAATGCTTCCTACCATAGTCGTCG